TTTGTTAGGCTTAACATCGATGAAAATTCAACGCAAAATAGGTTAATAGCGATATACTAATATACTAATTACATGGGATATAATAATATACTACACTAATAATGGATTTTTTCATACTTTTCGGTTATCCGACTTTTCAATTATCCGACCAACCCCAGTCACCAATTGGGTTGGATAATCGAGGCTCTACTGTACAAATATATGCTTAACTATACATAGCTATACTAAGCTGTATGCTCAATACATAATCTTGCATCATACTATTATTGATATAATTATATTAAACATTTTGTCTTTCAAAATCTTGTTGAATATAAATACAATTGCATAAACAAATAAATGATATCAGACATTTATTTTGAAAGTGGCCTAAATCCACTTTGACACGTTTCAAACTAATATGCAGTATATTATGGAGTAAAATTTTATTAGTTAATAATTACAATAATAAATCTATTAAATGTAGCATAATTTTACAACAATAACGCATTGATGGTGCTGCCTCCTTTATCCTAACACCTACCATAATCCTAACAGAAAATTCTTAATCCTAATCTGAATATAAAGATGTTTAATTTATATTTGCTTGAATGTAAAGAAAATAAAACAAGTGCTGTTAATGAGTGGTCTTATAGAAAAATTTTTAAAGAAGATTTTAATTTACAATTCCACCAGCCGCAGAAAGATACGTGCCAAAAACTCAATCTGTTAAACATTAAAATTAAGGAATCAAATAATGGTGAAGAAAAGGAGACAAGTCTTATGGAAGAACTTGATACTTATTTTAGATGAGCAGAATTGGCTAGAAAATCATTAAACAAGACCAAGATCTAGCATTATGTAATCCAAATGACTATTTTGCTTTTTCTTTTGACTTTCAAAAAGCACTGCTTTACTCAAAGTTGACTACTTGCATATTATAAGCATAATATGTATGTTTTAAATCTGGTTTTCAAGATTTTCATGATAATAATATATATGTGTATCTCTGGGATAAAACCATTGTATCCAGAGGTGCACAGGAAATAGCATCATGTATTCTAAAACATCTAAAAAATCTTAGAAATGAAAAACATATTATAGCTTACAACAATATGTGTGCTGGACAAAATAAGAATATAAAATTAGCTTTAATATAGTTAAAATTTGTCCAATCTGTCGTGGATTTTAAAAGGTTAAAGAATACTAATGGAGAAACAGTGAGTTAGTTAAAAATATGTTGGATGTGTTTTTTGAGAACTGAACCGTATAAAATGTTCTATAAAACATCAATTAATGAGGATACAAAATTTAAAACTCTGGATTCACTATTGCATTGGGGGAGACCAAGAAACTTTAATAATATTAAATTGACATTACAAAAATCAAGACCAATTTCAACGATATGATGGACTTATTACACTATATACCATCTGCACACCATGATTACTTTAAATCCTGCCTACACATGCAAAGTGGAGATGAATAAATCACAAATTACGATATATCACTTCAATTACCATCTTATCAGTTACCAATATTTTTAAATTAATTAAAATGCAAACCCATAAATACCTTGATATAAAGATAAATGGACTTAGGCCACTTTCAAAATAAACGATTCATATCATTTCAGTTTTCCCAATATTTAACCAAATATCTGATTGTCAGATTTGTCAGGTATTGTTTGGCTGCTAATTTTATTAATGAACTTTATAATTTTGCTTAAAGATAGGCAGTTAGTCCACCATCTTATATTGATATGAATAATTAAATATTAAATTTGAATAAATTAAATTATGTAGACTAGTCTGGAAGAAAGTATCGACTTCAAATGGAGCTTGAACCAATTCCTTCTGCCTACTCTGCTTATTTGTTACCAGTTATACTACCCAGACTTTCTATCTTTGCTTTCAGATCTATATTAATTCAGCCAAATAACTATACATGCATATCCAATAATCAATTGGTTTATAGAGTATAAACAACAAACAATAATTAAAGATTCTGTATAAACAAACATAAAAAGATGTCTTCTCACTATAACTCACATCAAGAACACAAAAGACAAAAATTCTTGATGGTGTGAGTGAAAAGATAAATATTAAGTTCTGAAAATACAATAATAATACAGAAGTGACATTAGATCTGATCAAATTCTTAATAATATTTTTCAATAAAATATGAGGGACAATCAAAAATATCTGGGACAAAATTTTTTACAGAGAAAGATACATTTATACATTGCTCTTTTTAGTCATGCCAGCAACCACAACCATTGCTGTTGCATGATGCCGAACCAAAGGTGATGGTGTTTTCACAGTTGCACAGATCTTATGTGATGTATAGTTTGCATTGAGACATTTTCTGAAGCAAAGTGAATAACGTTTTAACTTATAACTTTATCATCTAAAACAAAACCTAAATAAAACAGAAATCTGCTTAACCAAAAAAAAAAAAAACTTTAAAATGGAGTGATTTTCTGTTAAATATTACTATAAGCCAAAAACCTGTCTAATGTGGAAACTAACAAGGTTTTTGGGTTCAAAGAGTTCATCCAAATTAATCAGAAACTTAAGATTGCAGACAAATAAGTAAAATTACCTCCAGGTACAGTATAATGATCACTGTAGAGCATAATAAATCATATTCCAAAATAACTTTGAAACTTTTCAGAAAAATGGAGATCATGTGATGAGGAAACATATAAAAAAGGTCTTTGTTAATATGAACCTTTGACAGAATTGAATACTTTTAAGAATCAAATCAGTTTCTGAGAATTCTTGAGAACAAGTAACAAATGTAATTCATTGAAAACAATGAAAATAAGGTAACACAGTGCTACAAATTTTCCTTATATGAAATAGTTAATAAATAATTTGTACCAAACATTCAAGAACAAATTGATTATCATTGTTTGTAATTACAGAGATTAAATTAATAATTAATTAGTATTAAAATTCCTCTAAAGTCACATCACAGAATAACTTTTTCTCCATATTACTATAATGCAATTAAATTTCTGATGGCAGAGGGTATTCAAATAATTTTAGTACTCAAATACCTAGCAATGTTCTAGGAAACATTTGAGAACGTTTTAGAATTGAATAGTTCTCAATTTTTGTATCCAAGTTAATTTAAAGTGGAATCATTTTAATTAACTTGGATTAAAAACTAGTAATAAAATTTTTCTTATGTATGTTATAAAAGAGATTTTACATTAAAAATATAGTTAACTGTGTGGAATTTATCAAGTGTAATTTAAAAATTTAAAAAAAAAAATGTAAAGGAAAAGAAAAATTATTAAAACCTGTTCAAAATGGAAATCTGCTAAAATGGAAAAAATACAGTATCGTGTGGTTCTGGCTTACACAGGTTTTACTGTATTATATATTGTATGAAATATTCTCAAGTAAAAAGCATTAAAGCTATATTTTAAAACTGTTTTTAGAATAAAAGTACTTAAAGATTTATTTATGTTGTACAGCAGTCTAAGAATAAACTATAATAATGATTTGTTAATATTTACATTTTTGCATTATTTCAACTAACTAATCTAAATTTGATTCAATTAAATTGAAATTTTAAAAAAATGTAAATTAGAAAAACGAACAAATTTGCTTTTATTTTTTCGAAATACATTATTTTATTGTTCCTTTCCAGTTTATTCACATTGAGTTCTGAAGAAATATTAAGAAAAATGTACTTACTTCTTTTCTTCCCTCTCGGCTCCGTAACAGCTTTCGCATCGATTTGGATCGAGAGTTGGTTTAATTGCCTAGATTTGATTGTAGTTAAAAGACTTTTTATAAATATTCTATTTAATTGAAAATTATCATTAAAACATTATTTTATTAATTACATGTTACATAGACTATTGGATTGTAAAAATGGATAAAATGCATGCACGCTATTATGAAAGGTTAAAGTCTGAAAAAGATCTACAGAGATTTTTACTAGTGATCTGGCCCCATTCCTCATCTTTGTATCTAGCCCCAATGCATCTAGCCAAACTTATAATGGATTTATAAAAAAGCCTGTTTGTGTCATCAAGATGAGAACAAAAACAATCATGTAATAATTAATTTTTATTTTTAATTATCTAAAGAGAGAAAAATTTTAAGCATTACATATTCCTCCAAACAGTGTTGAACACGGATACTTTAACGATACTTTTATGATCATACTTTTTATTAAAAAAAAAAATTATAAGTTATATTTGTATCTAAGAATTTAAAATGTTTGACAGATATCAGAGTATAAAATTAATCTAGTTAAATATTTGTAAAAATACTAGTAAATATTCTTCAAAAAAATATTTCTTACCTCCAAAAATTCTTTTGATTTATCTCCTAATTCTGAAAAGAAACAAATTATTCAATTATAATATAACGACAAAAATTACAATTATTTTTCGTACATTCTAATTTAATTATTATTAAATCTCACAATACATTAGCTTTTAAACACAAATATACACTATAACCTAACCTTTCTTAAACCAGTAAAATTTCATTTTAACCAACTAATGTTTTCATGCTGATAGTTGTGGAGAAATATGTAACATCAACTGCCAATTATATATGTTGGTGACGAATAAAGTCCCTATTTAGACTTTCAAATTGTGATTAAATAAATAGCGTTTCAAAAGTTTGAATTTGGGCAACTTTTTCATAGCTCTAATTCCACTGTGCGTTATTTCGTTGTAACATAGTTGAGGAAAGATACAAGTACATCTGTTATCATTTACAATTATTGCCACAGAATTATGTGGCAATAATTGTATCATTATTATAAACTGTAAAGTTGATTCTACAAGATGAGAAATAAATGTTAGAAGTTGCAAACACAATCCAATTAGAATAATATTAACTGAACTGGAATGCATCAAAAAATTATAGAAAAAAGTTTATTGTTGATATTTAAAAAATAGTTGCATTATTGTAATATTCCTATGGCAAAAGCTGCATATCAGAAATAAAAGTAATTAACCGCCAAATTCAAAATCATTAAGCAACTTTTGATTATCCTGTAGGTGAGTAGCCAGTTTGCCTCAAGGAACCAAGCTAAATGAGGATGAAGTGCACCACATTCTTTAATTACAGGAAGAAATATGAAGAAATATCAAAGGAAACAGATTGACCACTAAAAGTAATTCGCAAATTAGTGATGGATCTGGAGAATTACAAGAAACGAAAGCAACCAAAACAACTGTCAAGTCTGTCATCAAGAGATAGAAGCCATATTTTTTGCTTAACCAAATGAATTGCCCTCAAATTAAGGCCACTTTAGGCTTGATCCAGACTAGACAAACATTTGGAATGATGTCAAGAAGGATGGAACTACTGCTTACTGGAAGCGCAAGTTGGCAGAATTGGAATTTGGCTGAAAATACCAACTATGGGATACTGAATGGCGACCAGTTGTCTTCAGTGATGGGCTGGTGGCTGCCAATGCTATTGGCACAATTTAAGAAAAGAACAAGAATCATTCTCCAGTCGTGTGTATTAGTGGAGATTCTGTGATGGTTTAGAGTGCATTCAGCTTCAATGCACCGACTGAATTAGTATTTATTTCTGGCCAGCAAAAAACTAAGGACCATCAGGATACTTTAGAAAACCATCTTTTGCCATTTGAGCCAATTATTGGTGGTTAAAATTGGATGTTTCAATAGGATAATGGCCCTATTCATACAGCAAAAACCACCAAAACTTGGTACCAATCAAAGGACATAACTGTTCTTGATTAGCCAGCGTGCAGCCCAGATCTCAATCAAATTGAGAATCTGTGGGAGTTTCTTGCACAAAGGTTTACAGTGGTGGACAATACTTTAGCACTGTTAATGAACTTAAGGTGGCCATCATGGAAGAATGGGAGAATATCCAAGATGAAACATGCTAAAATCTTATCAATTCCATGAAGAATCAAGTACTTAAGCTGATAAGTAAAAATGGTGGCAGAACCAGATACTAATTATAAGAATATTGTATGCTTTTTGGAGCATTGGAATTTTTTTTTATAATTATTTGACCATATTTTATGACTATTGTTGGTTTATATGTTCTCCTCAAATGTATTTGTTAATTTGAATAACTGTTACATGTGTGATATAATTTGATACATAAATGACCAAAGTTTGATAAATACATATTAGTAAATAAAAAAATTCTTTCAAAAACCTTTTGTTTTCTATAATTTTTTGATGCACTGTATATCTTGATTATATCATTTAGTGTACAGTATAATTGGTTTCATTATATGTCGTTTCCCTCAGCATCACAGTTTCCAAGAACCTATTGCTTGTCTAATCATCTTTCTATTCCCTATTATTAATTAATGATGTCTGAGAATTGAAAACATCTTTCAATTTTGAAGTAAACTAAATAACACCACTTATCATTTGTATTTTAATTCAGTCAAGTATAAAGAAATGAATTTTGTGAATGTGCTGTTCAGCAATGATTATTAATCATTTTGAACTGTAATTTTAGTATGCATTTCAGCTAAATCCTTCTTCAGCTGTTGACAATTCTTTAATTTAAACAATTTTGCCATGCTCTTTTAAACATACATCCTGTATGATAAGTTCTACATTTGTCATGTTGTGAAACTTGAGAAGTACTACAATTGGTGTTAATATTATAATAATAAAAGAATAAGTAATGAACAATTATTTGAAACTTGCAATGCCATAACGTTGTAAATGCCAAAAAACAAAGTTTTCAGGAGAAGTAAAAAAAACACTTTTTCTGGTAAATTATTCATTTCAATTTTACAATAAAATGGTAAAAAATTCATTAGGTTACAAATTCTTCTGAATACCAAAATGATGTAAATATAAGCTGTAACGTTTTAAGTGCCAAACGTCACATGACTTGCACTCTGGCACTTTAAACGTTATGGGTTCAACTTTAAAATGCAGTCACTTACAGTGCTGATGTTGCCACAATATTTTTTTTGCAGCAGAAAATATTGCATTTAGAATTCAATTCTTCAATAAAATGCATTTAGAAAAAAAATGACATTGGATGCTTTACTTATTAGAACATCATTACAATGCTGGACTGCAATTTCTAATAATCTTTTAATTTAAAAAAAAAATCACACAACTGGCACAGACTGAAAGTTCAAGTATAGTTAATCGGGGTCTCCTGCCCCTAAGCTTTCCATATATGATCTTGTCTCTCATCTATCTAACTTTGCAAGATTAAGGAAGGATGAACAGACAGACAGACAGCAGTGGAAATTTACAGGTCAATTATAAATTAAAATATTTACTATAAAACTGAAGTTTTAAAATCATAACTTAAATATAACTTTAAATGTAAATTAACCTTTTTCTCTTTCTGGTTTTTCAATTGGTTTCCCTTCAGTATCCAATCGTCTTTTAAAAATATTATGTTCAACATTAATATGTTGTTCGCCAGAAACATCTATGGCATCTATACTCAAAACTGAAATTAGAAAAAATCAATTTTATTTAAATAATAACATATAAATTATATTATATCAATATTTAGAAAATACTTTTTATTCTAAAATAAAATAATTATAACACAATTCCTAGAACACAAACCTCTACTTATACACTAGAACTCTTCAAAATATTTGCAAGAGATGTAGCATGCATGTAACAAATGAATTACCTCCCTGTAGTAAACATGAACTGCATAGTTAGACTCTCCTATGAACAATAATGCTAAATGAAAATTACTGACTATATAAAATAGGTGCTGAATATGCAACCTGTTCCTATGTCTATAAACTAAACAAATGAAATGGACACTTGTAGCCAAAAAAATAACAGGATGATTAGCCGTGGTTCAAAAATTTAGCAATATCATTGGTTCACAACAGAAAATGCAAAAGCTTTGCAAATGAGATTGTGCTTATAAACACCAAATCAATTACAACATTTAAGAAGTTTGTCAACATGAGAAGAAAACAAAGCCTGTCAAACAATGAGAAGCAAACTACACAACATAAGCATGCTAGAAGGAAAACATTGAAGCAGACATTCAGAAACCCTCAGACATGAATCATCCATTGAAAAGTGCCTAAAAAGAATTACACAACAAAATAGTGTCATCAACAAAATAGTTCCAGATAACCTAGAAAAATCACAATATATGACAAAGTCTGGAGGAGAGAATGATAAGATGCATCATTCTCTCCTCCAGACTTTACATCAGCAAGCACCATGGCTAGGCTAGGCAGTAGTTAGTCAGCACATTTGCAAGCATCAGTCTCCAGGGAAACAAGTTATTGTTTACAAGAAATGAGATTCCAACCACATGTGCCAAAAGTTGCCCTCTCTCAACACAACGTTTATATCAAGTATAGTAGGCAAAGAACATTTATGCCATACAAAAGAAAACTGACAAATAGTAACACAGAGCAATGAGGCTGCCTTTGAAATCATTATTGATGATGCAGGTCCCCTGTGTCTATAGACAGACAGGACATGCTTTCAGTCTAACATCCTGAAATCATCTGTGAAATTTCCAGCACAGTTATAATGTGAAAATGTATATCTGTTGCAAGTATAGGAAATTTGTGCATACTCAAACAATGCATTAATTCATACACTTATCTCAAAATTTTGGAATATTTCCTAATACCTTGGGCATGGAAGTTAAATCTGGATGGCTCATTCAACAGGGCAATGCCTTATCACATACAGCCAAACATATACAAGACTGTCTTGTCATCTACAGATTGACATAATGACTTGGCCAGCTAATTCAGCAGATCTAAATATGATAGAAAGTGTTTGGTGTCACACAAAGATATGAATCAGAGCATGTAAAACTGACAGAGAAAATCTGGTTAAAGACATCTGAGTGTTGGTCTGTATTATCCAATGACCTCAACTGTAAAAAACTAATAGACTGTCGTTTGTCTATTATCCAAAAATCTGTTGTAATTTTATCGTTAATGACTAAATTCATGCTAAATGAAGAAGTTTAATTCTGTTTCAGTGTCTTGCTGATGTTCTTGCTAATATTTTCAGGAATTGTTTACATCAGGGTTAGTCCAGTCCAAAAATGCTAAAGATTGGGGAGGAGGGTCATTTTTTGACCGATGGCTATACTTTCCTTCTGTTATATGTAACAGCCGGGTAAGTAAAATTATCGAATACATACAGTAGAACCTCCATTATCCGGATTTTTGATTATCTGGATTGTTCAAAATAAACAAAAATTTTACGAATTTGCTGATTTGCACTTGGCGAATTACGACACTGTTTATGTACGTGATGGAATGCATAACTTTTTTTGTTTCAACAACGTCTCACCCAGCACAGTGGTCGTAAACTCTTAAATATATTTTACGTAGTAATAAAAATATAACTTGACATACGTATTTATAAATAATTTATATTCAAATTACATCATTTCTATGACCAAGGGCGGCGTAAGGCATGGACGACATGGGCCACCGCCTATGCCTCGCGGTCTGACGGGCCTCGCTCCTCGAAGGTTTATGCATTACTTAAAAGCCGTGAACGCGACGAAAAAATTTTACTCGTCATAAAACGATAAATAGTTTGTCAAATTTTTATTCATAAAAATGCAGTTTCAACTGCTTTTTATTTTATAAAATCCGTCTTCTTGCACCACTAGAGGTCTTTTAAACAATAGGTAGTCTGTTAGCGTTGGTCAGTAGTAGTCCAAATTCAATACGAACGTTTGTTTCTTGAAAATTTGATCACGATTTAAATACAGTATTTACTTTTAATATTACTGATATGTCATTGAAAAGAAAACGTGTTGTATTATCATTAAAAGACAAATTAAATTATTTTTTTCGATTATCCGGATTTTCCCTTATCCGGACTACCTTCATCCCCAATTAGTCCGGATAATCGAGGTTTTACTGTATTTACATATTGACTGTGTCACCAGTATGTAACCAACATGCAACAAAATCTGCATTTAAGAAGACCCAACACTAGTAATATGGTAACACAATATAAAAATAATGTTAACAATACCGTGACAATGCTACATCCAGAAGTGCAGAACATTTTTTGGAGCAAAAATTTCCCAATAATTATTGCACACAAAACAATTTATGAACTAATTAATAATTATTACTACATAGGCTGGAAAATTTTGATTTAAATTTTATAAATAATTAAATACATCTACCGTATGATTTGCTGTCCAGCTTTAAATATTACATCATCATGGACACAGAACTACATGCAGCTAATTCTAAATTTGAACTTCTCAATAATTAATTAAGTATTTCTATTATACTTAATTAATCAAACACATGATGCTGAGAAATGTTTATTAAACAAACGTTAATGTTTTCGACCCAATATGATAGGCCATCTTCAGATGAAACCGAAATTTGAACGTATTTTAACTTAACATTTAAACGACAAAGCATTTGAACACTTTTACATTTAAATTTAAAACTAAACACTAGATAAATTAACAAATAAATAATAATAAAATAAAACAAAATATACTAAATGAACTAATACAATAACAATGTAAATAATATAATAGAATAAAAAATAACATATGTAAAATAAAATTAAATAAAAATGAAATAAACAGACAAAAAATGCCACTAATTATACGGGTAGGTGTGGGCTAAGAATTTTTGTGTTTTAGTTTTTCTTTTATGTAGAATTTCCATGCAGAAGCTAGTCCATCCACATCCCTGGCATTAATACAACCATCCTTTAATTTACTTTTATAGATTTCAATTTTTTCTTCGTGCATTGCTAATGATGGGGAACATATAGCCCTAATGATAGTCGCTTCATTCCATTTAACCAGAGTCCTCTGCTTGTGCCATACAAGATAATACTGTGTTGCTGTGCCATTTATTAATTCATTAAGTTCTATTTGAGACCATAAGCAGATATGTAAAATTCTAAACAGTTACAATTTAATAACAATAACTCAATTTAATTAATTAATTCCAGATGATCTACCAAATTATCCAGTTATTTTTGGGTTAATCAGTTGAAATTTTATGTAAATTTTTTACATTTGGAATTTTTGATATGCAAGTTAAAGTTCGGTCCAATTTTCAAATCCCATTTTCTTAAAATTATGCTGGTTTCATAGTTAGCTTCTTTGGTTTTATGTCTTGTATTATCACAACTTTTCACTTAAAATCTCTCAATATGTGGCATAAGCCACATCATTGACATTCGTGAGCTGCACTTTGGCCACTGTTGCTATTTATACACAGCTAAATCTGATGGTGCTTGGTATAATCCAGGCACTTCTGTTTGCAAAAATATTTCGCAATAGCTAAAACCCTTTTATTGTAGAGCCCAGAAGAGAGTTTGACAAGATATATTTAGATCCAAGGATACGTGAAGGTGACAACTACGATAGATTTGTATTTTCTAACTTTATCCAAAATAAATATATTTAATTTTATATACTAAAATTTAAATTTGGATATTATTTATTTATAAATAAATCATTTAGTTAAATTCGTTAATATAAAATTTATGAATTCATTTAATATTGTAAACTGTTAATAAGAAAATGATAATGTGAACGTTACAATTTTGATACTAAATGAACAATTTATTAATGGATGTAGAATTATCAATAAAGGAAATTTAAACACATGTGCATTTTTTCTTAACGTGATGAAATTGCAAACATTCAATATGAGTATCATTGGTGATGCATAAAACATTTAGGCAATATTCCAAATGCTGTCACATATTCTGCTGTACATCCACATTGACTTTTTTCAATAGCAGCTGTTATTCTTTCCGTCATATCATAAGTGGCACTACCAGTTTAATTAACGTACAAAAGATTTTGATGATGTTTTGGTTACCTTAAGAAGCAGATTGTGTTTCTTTTGTCATCTTTGATCAATCCTCACAAAAAGAAACTGCAGGATTGATGTTAGGCAATTTAGGTGACCAAAAAATAAAACCTCCATAGTCAATCCATTTGTTTTATTATTGTCTCACTTTACAGAGAATTTGTTAAATCTTTCTGAATACCTGTTACATGATTATGTGATTGAACCTTTTTCTTTGATGAGCCAATAGTGACTTCCATTGCCTCCCTAGACATTCTAAAACACTTTGTCTATCGTGGCTGGAAGAAATGCAATTGCATATCATCTTTCAGCGGGACAATTCTCCTCTGATTGTCTGAGTGTCTTTAACTTTGACATACCCAATGCTTTTTGTTTTTTAATGCTTAAAAAAAGTACACAAAACTTAATGTTCCACTGATTAAAAATTTATAAATAATATCATTAAATGAGCCAAACATTCTGATTTAAAATATTGGAAATTTGTATTTCAAAGCTAGGCCTGAGACAGGCTTACAAATGAACTGAGACAGGCTTACAAAATGAACTGAGTAAATTCTCTGTTATAAAAGTAGAGTTGATAGTACAGTAAGACCTCACTTAATGCTGATTCAATATAATGCCGTCTGCTCGAAGCCTTAAAAAAAGCTCAAAAGTTACACTGATTTAAATTATCACTGCATTTCATTGGTTCATACATTATACGATTATTTACAAACACAAACCAATCAGCAAAAGGTGGCAAACTTTCTTTAAATCCATGTTTGCTTGGTGCAGTTTTGGAAAAAAAAATATTATCGTGGATGCCATAGGCAATTTTGACTTCACTTGGCAAAAATTAACTGATAAATGCATGAACGAAGTGTGGAAGAAGTTATGGCTGAATGTATCCAAGAATTCTCAATGAGAGAAGCCTATCGCTGTATAGTTAGGTTGATCAAACTCAACTTAATCAATACAGCAGGACTAGGAGATGTAGAAGAACAGGATATTGAGGAGTTACCGCAGGTTTCTGGTGAGTATCTTATCAATGATGACCTTCAAGAACTGGCAGAACAAGGAATCCATGTAGAACTGGAAAATAGTGATTCTGAAAACAAAGAACCAAAAAAATTTCTCTACAGATTTCCTTAGTAAAAGTTTGGTAACAATAACCAAAATTGTTGATCAAATTGTAGTGAATGATTTAGATTTTTGAAAGGAGTTCAAAAGCAAAATGAGGCGTTTTGGATGCGATCTTCTGCTACCGACATTTGCTTAAGGAAAGAAAAAAGCGACAAATGAAACTTCATGACTTTATTGCAAAAAAACAAGAATTTCAGAAAAGTCAGGAAAAAATGAACTAATTAATATATTATTATACATTTCCGTGTGCATATGTTTATGTGTTATTTAACATATATTATTATACAAATTAATAAAAAAATAACTTAAAATTAAAGTAAAATTTTTTTATTTTCGGTCACGCGTTCCCCTATCCCTATTTACTCTATAATTTTACTCTTAAAATGACCTCGTTTAACGCTGTTTCGTTTAGATCTTTTTTGTCTAGGAATGCATCCCCCGCTTAAGCGAGGTCTTATTGTACTTCCACATCCTGTGGTTGACTTTTTACAATGGATAAAAGTTATAAAAATAATTTTCAAATATCCTGTATTCAAATAATTTATAACAGATCTGTTTCAATAATAGTTCTTTTTTAATTGTAAATCTACAATGCACAAAACCAAACCCAGCACTGAAAAAACAACTTGTTTTTGTAGTGCTGGTTTTGGTTTTGTGCGTTGTGTGTTTGTACACACCCAGTTTTGGAGAGATACTGAATGTAAATCTAATGTTTTAATAGTTATTTCACAGCAAATTTTATCATAAATAATATATCTAGTATATAATTTAATAAATATCATGATAAACAACATTTAACCAATATTTAATATTAGAAATAATTAAATAATTATTTCATAAATTTTTTTTAAATTTAACATCTTTATAATTGAACACTTGTTCTTCAGTTATTAACTGTAACACTTGGCGTTCTCTGCAAAATTACCATATGTTTTATTAACAGAAAAACAAGTTTATTTTACATATTAATTTAACTCTAGTATATAATTTTTGATAAATTATATTTAATTTTTTAAATCTAATTTGATTTTAACATTTTATAATAAAACTAAAAATGATAAACCATCATATATGAGCAATTATTTATTGTGACATAGTCACGATGCCAGACTACAATTTTAACCATATTTTTAATTTACTTAATTTAAAATATATGCTCTCCACCTCAAATTATTAGTAGTGTCTTGTCCCTGTACTGTACATCATACTTTTCTTTTAATAATAGAGTTGTGGCGATGATCGGCACGACTCTAATTGTTAAAAGAAAAGAACTGCTTTCGGGGAAGTTTTGAACTGAAATAATGTGACTCTCGGTTTGCACCAGAAGTTCGTATATAGCTAATCAGGGTCTCCTGCCTGTAAGGTTTCCATATCTGGTCTCATCTTTCATCTGTCTAACTCCATTCTCGACATTAAGGAAAGACAGTAAGGACATACGACAGTGGGAATTTATAGATCTACAATTTTATCAAATAAATTCTGAAAATTATTGATATATTTCGATAATGAAAGTTTGTGTACAGCAGGCACAATGAAAGTTTGTGTACAGCAGGCACAATGAGAGTTTGCACTTGGTCAATACTAAATGTGGGGAATAGGATAAAGTAGTACTCTCTGCATCAAAACTTTTCTCTACTGGTTTTTTTAAACATCTCTCAGAGAAAAAAAATCCCAAGAATCTCCACAAAACAGTTTCCATTAAAGTAAAGAGGTGTGTGACTGATATTAAATCCATAGATAACTCTTCTTCCCTTCCCTACTTTCCCAATTATCACCAGGCTACAGAGTTTTGAGGAAACATGATGTATTATAACTGATAAAACTCATATGGAATAAGTACTGGCACACGTAGCAAAAATTACCACTAAACTATCCCATTCTGTCACTTTAGCTCCACTAAAATAGGAACAGTTAGTGTTGACCAAGTGCAATTTCTCATTGCACCAACTGTACCTGTATTTATTGGTAAAAAAAAATACGTACATACAACACACACAGAAATAGACAGCATTATTATAAAATATATTTTTTCTGTCAATGATATCTGTGTAAAAGAACCTTTGCTTAACCAAAGAAATAATTTTTATAAAATTGAATAATAAGAAGATAAAAATATATATTCAATTTAATTTCTTGAAATTTTCCAAAACAAAAATTTTTTGATTTATTTCATAGACATTATCAGAATATGAGCTTTTTAGAGGAAAATAAAAAAAATGTAAGAAATGTCCTTAAAAAAACAGAAAGAATGATAGAGTAGGAAACGCGGATGAAGATAATCAAAAAGAAGAAAGATAGGACGAGGCAAAAGTGAAAGTAGAGCTACGATGAGAAGAAAAGGAAGACCCACAGTCCTTCATCTGGTGTGGAGTGACATTTTCTTGCAGAATTCAAACCCAAGTTCACCAGAAAGGCTGATGCCTTTACTACTTTGACAGGAGTGGCATTACAATCAGATGAAAAACGACAACATCTAGGGCCTTGCACTTCAGTAACTTTGCAAATTTGATGCTATATTTTAGTAGTTAAATTATCAAATTAGTAATTATTTTAAATATAACTGTACAAGTATCTGTTGCATCTGCAGATCAATCATTTTCAAAGTTAAAATCGATCAAGAAATATCATCTGAAACAATGCATCAAGAGAATTTCTTCATTTTCAATCTTGTCCATTGAAAAATATTACTACAAAAGTGGACTTTTCCTCTGTAATTAATGAATTCAGCATTGTTAAAAAGCAGGAGAGAAGTTTTTAGGTGAACTTCTGTATACCATTGTAAAAGTATTGTAAACATTTTTCAATACCAAATGACCACCATAATGCATTGGCTCTTTTTCAGTTACTATTAATAATTAAATTTTAAGTAATTTAGTACTAGAGGTGGATGGTTATATCTAAAAGTAAATATGTCTGGAAGTGAAGAATCACACAGAGATCCAGGTATCATAACTGGCAATGCATTCACATGGCAAGCAAGAGTTGTGGGTTAGAGGCCCACTTAAGGCCAATTCTTTTCTTTCAGAATATTCTAAATTATTTAATTGAATAAGAGATGATGCTTAATGTGTATTTCTAGTACCAAATTATTTTAATTATCAAATTAATGAATCAGACTGTTTTTCAGATACTATTTAACTGAAAAACAGTCTGATTCATTATGACAGTTTCGCTTTGATTAATAACACCATGCTTTGAGACGTTTCTATATGATCATAGACATATTTAATTAATATCATTACTTATTTATTTTTGTATTTATAATTACTGTATAATGTAACCATGGGTTACTTTTAAATAACCATAAAATCCTAAACTTTGCAATAAAATCAGTTACATATATTTTATTTCTGTAGCTTAACTCCTCTGGATATTGAATTTATGAAGAGACTAGATAAAATTGTTAATATAGTTCCTGTTATTGCTAAAGCAGATACTCTGACTATTGAAGAAAGATTAGCATATAAACATATGGTAAGTCTTGCTTTACTTTCCTAAGAAAATTTTTTTAAGAATGCAAAATAATTTAAATTTTACTCATATTTGCAGATTAGGAGAACGCTAGAAGAGAACGATATANCCTCTAGTAACAAATTACTTAAAATTTAATTATTAATAGTAGCCAAAAAACAATCCAATGCATTACAGCAATTGCTTCACATTGATTAATAACGTTGGCTTTTGAGATGTTTATATATGTGTAAACATTTTTATTACTTTATTATGTTTTACTGTCTGTTTCTATAGTAAAATGTTCATATTATTCCAGACTTAAATAAATATAACCTCTACCTCCATTGCTCTTTTAATGAGTCTTACAAATAAATTTTCCTGAGGGCTCACAAATCCTAGGGCTGCCATTACATCTTAACCATCTGGCATCTACTTACATCAATTAACATATGTAAAGAATTTTAAGTATTAATTACCATTATATAATAGCAATTAATACTTAAAATATTATACTGTCTGTATTTGTTAATAATACTTTTATTGTTTTTTTTATTTACACTCATTGAGTAATTCTGTGTAGCAAGAGGTTACCACCTCCAACAATAGAATTAATATACCCCATAAAAACAATCAAATGACAATATATATAAAAATGAATTTTTCATTAGACAAATTAAAAAATAATTTAAAACTTAGATTGCAAAATGACTTACATGAACACATAATATGAGGAAACACAACATCCATATTAATACGTAGCTTCTCTCCTCTCGACATATCTACGAACAGCTCCTCAGTAATCTCTGTGCTTAAATAATAATGCAGTTCTGACAGAAACAGCAGCACCATAATAATTCCACTCACTGCAGTAACTAAATAAAAAAAAAAATTTATTCTAATTAAGAGAAGCATAATCAACATTATATGTTTATTACATTGCTTTATGTCAGTGATTCCCAAACATTTTTGAGCTCTTGGTTCCATAAATTTATATCCAATGTCCCCCCAACGGTATCCCAGCACTTCTAACCCATTTTCTCTAGTGTGAGAAAGACTTGAAAATATTCTTAGAAAAAACTTCCCTATGAATTTCACATTTTGTAACCTTACCATACATTGTTCCACATTTGGAAACCATTAAATGCAATGTTTCTTCTTACCTGTTTTAACAAAGGAAAGGAAAAGGTTATCAGTGATCCTAACTCTTGCCTATTGTTACCATTTAGTACCCTGCCTCCAGCCTCTCTCACTTGCTTCTTTTTGACCACCACTAGATTTACTCATTGTCCAAAGAGAGGTGGCATTGTCCACTTTTGGGAACCGCTGCTTTATATAATGTAATTTTGATTTACATCAGAGTTGTGTTCCCCAAAAACAGTGCACAAATAAAGATTTGCACAAAGTAAAATCAATTATCTCATACAAATATATTAAAATCTTTTTTTTAATTTTATATTAGCATTCTTTTAATTTTTATACGAATAACAAAAACAACAACAAACGTAAGCTTTGATATTTATATTATTTATATAAAAAATGATAATTTTATAATTCATATAAAAATATAATATTAACAATATATTACATGTATTATAAGATTGTTTCAAATTCACATATGTGGAGGTGCCACGCAAAAGCAAACAAGTCCACTCTAAACAATTGTTGGAAAAATGTAAAATTGTTATTGAATTTATTTTACACCTCACACCTATAAAAATTTATTATTTTTTTTCATTTTGTATCTAACATCAATATTTGAAGGCAGTTTTTGATAGGAATATAGGAATATTTAATTATACGACATTAAAATATGGACATGTTTCTTTTAGCTTGGACAGGGTGGATATGTCTTCTTTTGCCTGGCCACTATATTCTTTTTCACTTTGTTATACTGGCTACTACTTTGACTTATCAAAACAAATGGCATTTTATAAAATAGGGATGAACAATAAATGTCTTCTCCCAAATAATCACATAGGTTCCCATTATTTTCTTCTTTTTCCGGGTCATCTGCTTCAAGCTTGGTTCCGTTTCTTAACACTTGTTTATACCATGAAAAACTTTCATCATTTAAAAGTGATTCAATGTTTTTTTTCTTGGCAGCTGATAGAGGGTGCCCTACAGGTAGTTGCTCGACTGGCTCCTCAAATCTCATCCCAAACGAGCACTGTATTTTTGTATTTTCTTCTTTGCCCGTACTCCAACAGTTTTATGTTTCTTTCTAGATCCAACATTGCCTTCTTCTACACTTATCAAACTGTCTTCATCCATTTTCACTCAATTATAACAGTGAAATACACTGTATAATAAAATGTGTACTAATAAACAACATTTTAATATCAAAATCTCTGTTCCAACACAGAACAACAAAACGACACAACAAAAACAAAACCACCTGTTGCATTCTGGAAGTCACATGACTCAATCATAGGGCAGACTTCATCGGCTGAGGCAGACTGCAATGGCTATGTTTTGTTCTGCTTGGAATGCAAGTAAAGAGATATTCTTTTTTGCACAGAACATTGCTTTTCAAAGCTCAAAAACTGTTGGATGCATATTTTTTGAGTGAAACCGACTATAACAATAGATAGGAATGAGGCTGAAAAAAAAAAAATCAATTATAAACTCAACTTTGATTTTTTGTGGATTTGTTTGCTTTTGCATGGCACCTCCACATATATTGTGAGTGCCCTATATACCTCAAAAATCAATACTGATGCTTTAAACAGATGTCCTTTATATTGATCATATATCATTTATATCATTATATCATTTTGTACTTGAACTCAGTTAAAAATGATCTAATGGAAGAATAACTAAATTTTATACAACTGCTTTAGGACACTGGTAATATATGTTCCAATCAAAACTGTTTTATCTGAAATAAAAATAGTAAGACTTCTTAAATTATCATCATTTAAAATTGTTTAATCTTAACATGGAGTTAGAAGATGAATACAGAATTAGGTCACTCTTTAATGGAATCTGTTATATAACAAGAATTAGTTCTTAGAAGAAAATCATTGATTTAGTGAAGTTCTTTCCCAAACTCCATCTCATTGAGTTGGTTTCCATGTGTATCACGATTCAATGTAGTGGTTCAGGGTTGATGGAAAGCACACTTCCACACTCAAATTGATAATATTTAGAGTTTATTTACAGATTCTATATGCAGAAAGTACAAGTTTCAAAACATAATATATATACAGGATAACAATACGCGGTGACTCATGTACTAGATTGGTTTCCAGGAACTGTTAAACTTTGGAGAGGCCTCAGTCAGCTTGTGGAGTTAGCTCAACTGCACAGTCAGTCCAGTCTCCGCACTAACCTGTCCCTGAGATGTTTACCAGAGGAGAACTCTCTCTCTATGCTCAGCGGGCTTCCCAAGTGCCTGAGACTACCGTGTATCAGTCTCTTGCCCTTCTCTCCTCCCTCGCCCATTCATTCCGCAATTTAAGGGTTTTTGGACGGAAACTTCCGACCAATCACAAACCTTTCTTGCCCGAACAGCTTTAACTTAGGTCCACTGTTAATCCGACGAGAGTCAAGCTTACAGTAACATCCGCCACTGTATAATCAAATTTTATGTTTCTATGGGTATCTATCCCTTGCTTTACATGGGATTTGATTAACGCACGAAATTAATTGCGGCAATCCCTTTACATATGTGGCAGAAGTTTTAACACAGCTTTACCAGCTGACTTTACTTAACATAGATACTGTATTTGATTAACACAATTTTGATATCATCACCCATGGGAAGCACTAATTCACCTAGCAAGTAAAGTAGGAACATTGAAAAGAGGGATTGTTTAACTGTTGACGCTATTCAAATAAGTTAACTGTGTTTTGTCAAAGTTAAAATTTGCTTGTTTACAAAATTACAGATAATACTTTTGAAGACTGTACTAAAGATAAGAATATTGTAAAGTATAAGGTTTTTGTAGTTACTGTAGCATATAAGCCTATAAAATTATGATATTTCACTGTAGTAAGCATGTGGTGTACAGCATAATTCTCTACAAAGTAAAGCCATCTGTTATCACTGGTGCTTCTATTTTGGCCATATTTTTTTATTTAATTATTTTAAGCTTCTTGCCACAGATTCTGCATATTGCTGTTTGATAAATGACATTCATAATAATTTTTACTTGTCTTAATGGCTGCCTAATGCAAGACAGCCAATGTAGTAATCCATAAGTTTCTTAGCCTTTAATTTACTAAAACTATAATAAAGAATTAAATTACACATTTATCTTGTAGATAACCTACATTTAATACTTAGGTAATTGGTCACAAATGGAACAAATAATAACGAAAATAGAAATAAAACTAAAGCACTGTTATATCTTTTTCAATGTATCTTTTTTCTTATATAGTACGACAAATAAATCACAGGTTAAACTGAGAAATTTTATTCAACTGCTGAGAAATCATCAACTTGTTATACCTTCTTTCCAATCTTTAACTTCTAAATCTACTTTTCTTAATTTGCTTTCTACTGAAAACTGTAAAAGAGAATTTTCTGTTCATTATAATAATCTCCTGGCTTATATTTGCACTTAGGTACAGAGCAATATTGAACCATTGTTTAATATAAAGTTTAAAAGATATCCACATGAATTGTCCTCGATTCATAGATATATCGTTTACATTTCACTAGTGCCACTGTTACTGTGAAAGACCGAAATCAGAGAATGTCGATATTCTCTGGTGAATGTCAACACATACAAAATATGTCGGTGAAAAACAGAATATTTGGTTATATTATTATATATTCGAACAATCGCCGATGTATGTCGACAAGCACAGATAAGCTTTGGTGGAGGTCAAAACGACACACGAGAAGCCAATGTTGACAGAGAGACAACAGTCTGTCGCCAAATTCTTTGCCGTTTCTCTCTGCTCAAATTTGTGATACCGTACGAATACAAGTCCTTGATGTCGACCATGGCCGTACAGATGCTCGAAATGTGTTGCCGGTTGTTGTTGGAATAGAAGACTGCGACTTTTATAAATTAGCAAACAAAAATGGCACTCTCAAGCAGATTTATACTTGTAATCAGTTCGTAATTTGTAAAGAAAACTTACTTTCCATACATGAACTTTCTTCTCAAGAAATATCGCTGGAGAAGCAGCTGCAACTAATTCAATAAGTGGAGGGCAAGGCTATATACGCTGTCATTGCAAAAAGAAGTGTTCCACGAATAAATGCGGTTGTAAAAGCAAGGGACTCTTGTGCAATTCAAAGTGCCATAACAGTTTAAGCTGTTGCAATAAATAAGATTGTATAACGTTAATCACATAATTTATGTGTAAGTTTATTATTGTATTATTTTCTTTAATGATTTAGAATGTGCTGTTTGTTTTAGGTTCAACAGTTTATTTACATATGCTGTTACTTAAGCTTTCTCCTATTTTGACATATTCAAAAGTTGCATTTTTGTCTTAACGTAATAAAAATATTTTTATTCAACATTCACCACCAGTGCACGCTGAATGTCGACATTTGCCGGTGTAAGTGAGAGATAATGATATTTAGCAAATATTTCGTACATACACAAAACGACTGTGTGAATGCTGACATTTACCAGAGAATGTTGACATTCGCCAGATATCGGTCATTCACAGTAACACCACCACAAAATACAGTGGCAGCTGTGAGTGAGGATATGCAGTAACATCCAGGGATTAATTAGCCACATTAATCAAGGGATACCTGTATTTGTGTAATACGTTCCTTAAGTTGTTGAACTTGTTCTGTATTTCTTGCATCCAGAAATTTTCCTTAGCCATTCAAATTTATAACTCTTATCAATGCAGAACACACATTTTCTAACAAATCATGTGCTCAGAATACAAAATACAA